TGGGGGCCTCTTGGGGCCTCTTGGGGGCCTCTTGGGGGCCTCCTGGAGGCCTCTTGGGAGCCTCCTGGGGGCCTCGTGGGGCCATCTTGGGGCCTCTTGCGACCTCCTCAGAAGCGCAAATGAGCGCTGCCCCCTGAGAAGAACAAAATGAGCCCAAAACCGTCGTAACATCAATGGTTTTGCTAGGAAGGAAGAGGAGCGCGGCCCCCTCAGAAGGCCAAAATGGGGCCAAAACCGTAGTACAATCAATGTTGTTTGCTTCAAAGACGAGCTGAGGGACCAAACTCCCCCCCCCCCTCGGGGCCAGAATCCTCGTGAGGGTCGTCGTTTTTTGGCCCTCCCAGGCGTCGAAAAAAAACCTGACGACGCTCGGAACTCCCTCTCCAGGTCCAGGGGGAGGGGGTAGGGGGAGGGGTAAACCCCTCCCCGAAGGGGAAGAAGGGGGGTTGAGGACAGAGAGAGCTCCCTAAACCACTCACGCCCAAAGGGCTGGTGGGATTAGCTTGGCGAAACACCCAACCTTATGCAGTTGTGAGTACTGCAATTGTGAATATCTTTTTCGATAGCGCTCCCTATGGTGCCACGAAGCGCTGTACTGGGTGGGTGAAACGCAGGGTGCAAGGGCCGTGTTGGGTGGTGGCGGACGCATGCGGGCGGTGCCACTGGGACCTTCGGTTCAGCTCCCTATGGGACCACGAAGCGCTGTACTGGGTGGGCGAAACGCAAGGAGCAAGGGCTGTGCTGGGTGGTGGCGGACGCATGCGGCTGGTGCCACTGGGACCTTCGGTGGAGCCCCCTATGGGGCCACGAAGCGCCGTACTGGGTGGGTGAAACGCAGGGCGCACGGGCTGTGCTGGGTGGTGGCGGACGCATGCGGGCGGTGCCAAACCCCCCCCCCCCCTGGGGCCCTTCCGGTTGTAGCCCCCCCCCCCCCCCTCTCTGGGGCACGACGTCGCGGGTTATGGGTGGGTGGCAACGAAGGGCGAATGGCTGTACTGGGTGGTGGCGGGACGTATGCGGGCGTGCCACTGAGACCTTCGTTTCAGTCCGTATGGACACGATAGCGCTGTACGGGTTGGGCGTAAAACGCAAGGCGCAAGGCTGTGCAGGGTTCCTGCTGGACTGCGCGGCTGGTGCACTGGGGATCCTCGGTGGAGCCCCCTATGGGGCCACGAATGCGCCGTACTGGAGTGGGTGAAACGCATGGCGCAAGGGCTGTGCTGGGTGGTGGCGGACGCATACGCGGCGGTGCCACTGGGCCCTTCGGTGTAGCCCCCCCCCCCCCCCCCTCTATGGGGCCACGAAGCGCGGTACTGGGTGGGTGAAACGAAGGGAGCAATGGCTGTACTGGGTGGTGGCGGACGTATGCGGGCGGTGCCACTGAGACCTTCGGTTCAGCTCCGTATGGGACCACGAAGCGCTGTACTGGGTGGGCGAAACGCAAGGAGCAAGGGCTGTGCTGGGTGGTGGCGGACGCATGCGGCTGGTGCCACTGGGACCTTCGGTGGAGCCCCCTATGGGGCCACGAACGATGTCCTGGGTGGGTTGAAACGCAGGCGCAACGTAAATTATTTTTGGCTGGGTGGGTGGCGGACGCATGCGGGGCGGGTTTGGCCACTGGGACTTCCGGAGTTCCCCCCCCCCCTTATGGAGGCCAGAAGCGCGGTTACTGGGTGGGTGCAACGCAGGGAGCAATGGCTTGTACTGGGTGTGGCGGGCGCCTGCGGGCGGTGCCACTTGGACCTTCGGTGGCGCTCCCTATGGGGCCACGAAGCGCTGTACTGGGTGGGTGAAACGCAGGGAGCAAGGGCTGTGCTGGGTGGTGGCGGACGCATGCGGGCTGGTGCCACTGGGACTTTCCGTGGGGCTCCCCATGGGGCCACGAAACGCTGTACGGGGTGGGCGAAACGCAGGGGGCAATGGCTGTGCTGGGTGGTGGCGGACGCATGCGGGCGGTGCCACTGGGACCTTCGGTTCAGCTCCCTACGGGGCCACGAAGCGCTGTAATGGATGGGTGAAACGCAGGGAACAAGGGGTGGGTGGTGGCGGACGCACGCGGGCGGTGCCACTGGGACCTTCGGTGGAGCTCCCTATGTGACCACGAAGCGCTGTACTGGGTGGGTGAAACGCAGGGAGCAAAGGTCGTGTTGGGTGGTGGCGGACGCATGCGGGCGGTGCCACTGGGACCTTCGGTGGGGCTCCCTATGGGACCACGAAACGCTGTACTGGGTGGGTGAAACGCGGGGAGCAAGGGCTGTGCTGGGTGGTGGCGGACGCATGCGGGCTGGTGCCACTGGGACCTTCGGTGGAGCCCCCTATGGGGCCACGAAGCGCTGTACGGGGTGGGCGAAACGCAGGGAGGAAGGGCTGTGCTGGGTGGTGGCGGACGCATGCGGGCGGTGCCACTGGGGGCTTCGGTGGAGCTCCCTATGGGACCACGAAACGTTGTGCTGGGTGGGTGAAGCGCATGGAAGAGGGAGGAGGGAGGAGGAGGGGGAAGAGGAGGAAAAGAGGGGAGGCACGCGGGGACCGTCTCTTGAAAACGAGGACCCAGCACCACAGGATGGTTGGTGAATAATTATCCCAGTGCGATCCTACCTAGGAGTTGGAGCCCCTAGGAAAGCAACATTCTTTGTAACAGTAATGCTAAGCTAAAGCTAAGCTAAAGCTAAGCTAAAGCTAAGCTACAACTCAGCTAAAGCGAAGCTATTCCTAAGCTGCAGCTAAGCTACAGCTAAGCTACAGCTAAACTAAAGCTAAGCTAAAGCTAAGCTAAAGCTAAGCTTCAGCTAAAGCTAAGCTAAAGCTAAGCTAAAGCTAAGCTAAATCTAAGCTAAAGCTAAAGCTAAGCTAAAGCTACGCTAAAGCTAAGCTAAAGCTAATATAAAGCTAAAGCTAAACTAAAGCTAAGCTAACTCTAAGCTAAAGCCAAACTACAGCTAAGGTACAGCTAAGATACATCTAAGCTAAAGCTAGGCTAAAGTTAAGTTATCGCTAAACCTAAGCTAAAGCTAACCTAAGCCTAAGCTAAAGCTAAGCTTAAGCTAAGCTACAGCTAAGCTAAAGCTAAGCTAAAGCTGAGCTACAGCTAAGCTAAATCTAAGCTAAATCTAAGCTAAATCTAAGCTAAAGCTAAGCTAAAGCTAAACTAGAGCTAAGCTAAAGCTAAGCTAACGCTAAGCTAAATATAAGCTAACACTAGCTAAAGCTAAGCTAAAGCTAAGCTATCGCTAAGCTAAATCTAAGCTAAAGCTAAGCTAACGCTAAGCTAAAGCTAAGCTAACGCTAAGCTAAAGCTAAGCTAAAGCTAAGCTAAAGCTAGCTAAAGCTAAGCTAAATCTAGCTAAAGCTAAGCTAAGCTAAAGCTAAGCTAACGCTAAGCTAAGAACCCTTCTAGGCAGAGCCTAGGTTGAGAATATCAAGAAAATAAGCTAAGCTAAGCTAAGCTAAGCTAAGCTTAGCCTAGCAAAGCTAAGCTGGGTGAACCCAGGGGGCGCAACTGGGGGAACCGCGGGGCGGATACTGGGGGAACCGCCCGGGGCGCTTTCCACTGCCCGGCCCCTTTAAGAAAGAGAGTAGGAACCCTTCTAGGCAGAGCCTAGGTAGGGAATAAAAACATACGTAATCTGGGGACGATTCTGTGACCAGTGACATACCCGACCTAAGGTTTGGGATCCTGGGGGGGGGATTGGGGGTGGGGGAGAATATCACACGCCTGTAGACCCACAAGAAGTCGGCGGATACCCTCGAACCTCCTCCCGGTTTCATTGCCTCGCTGGACCTACGACCCGCGGGTGGCAAAGCTCTTCTTTAGCGACCCGGAGTTGGTGAGGGGCACGCTGCAGATCCCACAGCCCATTCCAATGAACAGCTGTGTCGGGCCTGCGCTGTGGTGGGCCCGGGCCCGCGCGCTCGTGCTGTGGACCCAGGTGATCGCCACAACATGGGGGCTCCTCGTTTCGGGGCAGGACCTCGCGTGGGTTTGGCCCTTTTTCTGGTGCGTCAGCGTCCCGTTCGGCCTGCTCGCAGACTTCGTCTGCATGCGCCACTTCATTGTGCCGTGGGTGCAGCAGGCGCACGGCTGCGTGACCCCCATGCTGAGCCTGGTGCTCCCGGACGTCGGCAGGCACTTCGGGGTGTGGCTGCCCCTGAGCATCACGGCCTCCGTCGTCGCGATGATGAGCATCCAGTTGAACGCCACCTTCGTGGCGAGGACGTGGGAGCGGCAGTGGCTCGACGAGGCGCAGGGCCAGGCGGAGATCAGGTTCTGGAATGAGGTCATGGAGAGGTCGATGTTCGGGGGTGCACTGGACTGGACCTTCTGGACGCCGCACCGCGCTGCCCTTGGTCTCTGGCTTATCTCCATCTCGCAGCTCCTGGTTCCCCTGTGGAACATCACCCGCTCGCCGAGGGACGCGGGCGGACCGTGCGACCTCACGGTCAAGTACGTCGAGGGAAAGCCCGTCGGATGGGAAAGCCTCACGCACCGTGTTCGCTGCGGCCCCCTGTACGTCCGCAGCCCCGAGCGCCCGATCACGCCCTTCGAGGCGCTCACGGACATGGCCTATGCCGGCGGCATGGCCACGGTGGGCTGCGCGGTCTTCAGCTATCCGCTGGCAGAGATGTCCGAAGCCCTGAAGTTGAAGAAGGTGGGCTGGGAGCGCGACGCTTTGAAGTACCTGATCATGGCGCAGAAGTCGGCCTTCCTCAGACTCATCCTCGACTTTTTGCTAAAGAAGTCACTGCAGCTGAAGATCCAGGTGTCCATCTACGCCATCCACCGGTCCATGATGCTGCAGTGCACGCCCGACAGGAATTCGTTCCCACGCCACGAGCTTGTTCCCATCATCGTGACACTCTTCACGGGGCTCGCCACCCAGATGGATTTGGTGCTTACTATTCTCCGATTGCCTCTGGCAATGCCGCCACCGTGCCAGCGCAGCATTCTGTGTGGCGACCACTCGATGCTACCCGAGAAGGCAAAGTATGCCGTCGCGTGTGCCACCTCGGGCTTCTTGGATGCTCTGGAGGCCTGCTGGGTGCCGAGCCTCTCGGGGACCTCCGTGGGCCTCTTGGCAGCGTCTCGGGGGCGCCTCGGAGGCTCGTGGACGCCAGCTGAACTCGGACCCAGCTGAACTCGGACCCAACTGCACTCGGACCTGGGCTGAACTTGCGCCCAGCCGAAGCCGAACCCAGGCTGAACTAGGACCCAGAACTCGGACCCAGAACACTCGGACCCGGCTGATCTCGGACCCGGCTGAACTCGGACCCGGCTGGTCTCGGACCCAGCTGAACTCAGACCCGGCTGAACTCGGACCCGGCTGCTCTCAGACCGAGGCCCGCGCTGCAGCGGGAGCGCCTGGGTCCGAATTCAGCTGGGTCTGGTTGCCGGGTCCGAGTTCAGCCGGACCATCGGGGGTCGGGTCCTCGGCCCCCTCCGGCGCCGATTGAGGGCAGAATTGAACGTAGACTGGTGGGGGCGGGAAGCAAGTTGTCAGGCTACAAAACCTCAGCGCTGAATGCGGAGTGGATTTCGAGACTTCTCGGCGGACTGCGCGCGCGAAAATTAGCCTGGCGAAGGACCCAACCATATGCAGTTGTGAATGCCGCAATTGTGCCGGGTGGTGGCGGACGCATGCAGGCGGTGGCATTGGAGCCTTCGGTGGAATTCCCTATGGGGCCACGAAGCGCTGTACTGGGTGGGTGAAACGCAGGGAACAAGGGCCGTGTTGGGTGGTGGCGGACGCATGCGGGCGGTGCCACTGGGACCTTCGGTGGAGCTCCCTATGGAGCCACGAAAAGCTGTACTGGGTGGGTGAAGCGAAGGGAACAAGGGCTGTAATGGGTGGTGGCGGACGCATGCGGGCGGTGTCACTGGGACTTTCCGTGGAGCTCCCCATGGGGCCACGAAACGCTGTACTGGGTGGGTGAAACGCAGGGAGCAAGGGCTGTGCTGGGTGGTGGCGGACGCATGCGGGCGGTTCCACTGGGACCTTCGGTGGAGCCCCCTATGGGGCCACGAAGCGCTGTACTGGGTGGGTGGAACGCAGGGAGCAACGGCTGTGCTGGGTGGTGGCGGACGCATGCGGGCGGTGCCACTGGGACCTTCGGTGGAGCTCCCTATGGGGCCACGAAGCGTTGTACTGGGTGGGTGAAATGAAAGGAGCAACGGCTGTACTGGGTGGTGGCGGACGCATGCGGGCGGTGCCTCTGGGACCTTCCGTGGAACCCCCTATGGGGCCACGAAACGCTGTATTGGATGGGCGAAACGCAGGGAGCAAGGGCTGTACTGGGTGGTGGCGGACGCATGCGGGCGGTGCCACTGAGACCTTCGGTGGAGCTCCTAATGGGGCCACGAAGCGCTGTACGGGGTGGGTGAAACGCAGGGAACAAGGGCCGTGTTGGGTGGTGGCGGACGCATGCGGGCGGTGCCACTGGGACCTTCGGTGGAGCCCCTTATGGGGCCGCGAAACGCTATACTGGGTGTGTGAAGCGCATGGAGCAAGGGCCGTGTTGGGTGGTGGCGGACGCATGCGGGCGGTGCCACTGGGACTTTCCGTGGAGTTCCCTATGGGGCCACGAAGCGCTGTACGGGGTGGGTGAAACGCAGGGAGCAACGGCTGCACTGGGTGGTGGCGGACGCATGCGGGCGGTGCCACTCGGACCTTCGGTGGAGCGCCCTATGGGGCCACGAAGCGCTGTACTGGGTGGGTGAAGCGCAGAGGGCAATGGCCGTGTTGGGTGGTGGCGGACGCATGCGGGTGGTGCCACTGGGACCTTCCGTGGAGCCCCCCTATGGGGCGACGAAGCGTTGTACTGGGTGGGTGGGACGCAGGGAGCAAGGGCTGTGCTGGGTGGTGGCGGACGCATGCGGGCGGTGCCACTGGGACCTTCGGTGGAGCCCCCCTATGGGGCCACGAAGCGCTGTGGTGGGTGGGTGAAACGCATGGAACAAGTAGGAGGGAGGGGAGGGGGAGGAGGGGGAGGAGGGGGAGGAGGAGAAGAGGAACGCGGGGACCGTCTTCAAAGCGAGGACCCAACACCACAGGATGGTTGGGAACAAACCGTTCTGAATTTTGAAGCGAATATGTAAACTGCGCGTGCTTCGGGGTGGTCGTCGAATAACCTCGGTAGTGATGTCGGCGGGCCCCACATGCTTCCACCGCGTGTAGAGTGCGTCAAAGTTATCATTCCTCCGCTTGCCCCCTGCTATTTCAGTTGATGCTGCTGCTACTGCTGCTCCTTCCCCCTGTCCATCATCACCCCCCTCATCTCTCCTCCTTTTCCTCCTCCTCCCCTTCCTGCTTCTCGCATTATTATTCTCGTTCTCGTTTTCTTCCTCGTCCTTGGCGTCGTCGTCCTACTCACCCTCCTCACCGTCATCCTCCTTCGTTTCCCCCCGTCTTCCCCCTTCTCCTTTGCCCCCCATCGAAACGAACTACCTCTGCTCATGCTGAATCTCTTTCCCATCTCCTCTGCTCATCCTCGTTTCCCCCCTCATCCTCCCCCTCTCTGTTTCGACACTTCGTCATCGCGCCACGTTTTGGGGAAGGTCCCCAAGAGGGCCCCAAACGCTTCCCAAACGCCTAAAATGGTTTCCAAGACGGCTTTGAAGCGCCCCCAGAGAGCCTTAATATGGCCCAGCGAGGTTCCCAAAACTGCTTTCGACGGCGTCAGGCGGATCAGGAACGCCACAACACGACCAGAATCTAGACCCCGCCCGCCATCGCAAACCGTGCTGGCTGCTGCTGTGCATGAGTGTTGCCCAGCCAGGGAGCAGGAGGGAGGGGGCAGGGATAGAGAGAGAGAGAGAGAGACAGAGAGAGAGAGAGAGAGAAAGAGAGCGAATGGATTTAGGGAATGCTGGGCATTGAAGGAAACTGATCCCGCGGACCTGTGGGGCCGTCTTGGGTGCCTCATGGGCCGTCATGATGGAGACCTTGCGAACGATCTTGGGGCGATGTTGGGAGGCTCTTGGGCCGTTTCGAGCCGTCGGGAGGCCGGAACTATGCTACAGCCAATGTCGTATGACACGAAAACAGTGATTTTGGTCTCCTCCGGCCTCTTTGGGGTACCTCTTGGCGGCCTCCTGGGCCGTCATGCAGCCGTCTCGGGGGGCCTTTTTGGGCGTCTTGGGTCATTTTGAGGCTACCTTGGGCCGTTGTGGCGGCTTCTTGGGCGGCGGTTATCTTTGGTCATCGTGGGATAACCTTGGCCGTCTTGGAAGCCGCATTGGCAGTCTTGGAAGTCATCCTCCCATCAGCCTGGGGCCAACCGGAGAAAGTTCTCTTGGCGAAGGACCCCGCCATTTGCAGTTGTGAATGCCGCCGTTGTGAGTATCGCTCTCGGTGGAGCTCCCTGTGGGGCCACGAAGCGTTTGTGTTCCTAAATGGAGGCGGCGGTGCCATGCGACCTATGCCACTTGGGCCTTCGGTTGAGCTCCGTCTGGTGCCACGAGGAGCGCAAGGGGTGTGCCGAAACGGGGGCGGCGCTGCCATGCGAAGCCTGCCAGTGAGGCCTTCGGTGAAATTCCATGTGGCCACGCGAAGTGTGCAAGGAGAGGTGTGCCGGCATAGAGGCGGCGATGCCAGGCAACAACCCTGCCGCGGGGGGCCTCCGGCGGAGCTCCTCATCAGAGGCCACGAATCGTGTGCGAGGCGTTGTGCCGAAGTGGCGGCGGCGGGGTCGTGCAAGCCTTGCCATTGGAGGTCCCCGTGGGGCTGCGAGACGTGCGAGGTGCGCGCCGCAGTGGCGGCGGAGGTGCCATGCGGCCAATGCCACGTGGGCCTTCGGTGGAACTCCGCATGATGCCACGAAGCGTTTGAGGGGTGCGCCGCAATGGCGGCGGCGGTGCCATGCGACCAATGCCCCTTGGGCCTTCGGCGGAGCTCCGTATAATGCCACGAAGCGTTCGAGGGGTGCGCCGAAACGGAGGCGGCGGTGCCATGCGAACCCTGCCACTGGGGGCTTCAGCGGAGCTCCGTGTGGTGCCGCGAAGCGTGTGATGGGTGTGCCAAAATGGGGCGGCGGTGCCATGCGACCCCTGCCACTGGGGCCTTCGGGGGAGCTCCCTACGGAGCCACGAACCGAGTGAGGGGCGTGCCAAAATGGCGGCGGCAGTGCCATGCCGAGTTTGCCATTGGAGGTCCCTGTGGGGCTGCGAAACGTGCGAGGTGTGCGCCGCAATGGCGGCGGTGGTGTGCCATGCGGCCAATGCCGCTTGGGCCTTCGGCGGAGCTCCGCATGATGCCACGGAGCGTGTGAAGGGTGCGCCGAAATGGACGGAGCTCCTAATGGTGCCACGAAGCGTGCGAGGTGTGTGCCGAAATGGAGGTGGTGCCATGCGACCCCTGCTATTGGGGCCTTCGGGGGAGTTCCCTACGGGGCCACGAATCGTTTGAGGGGTGTGCCGAAACGGGGGCGGCTGTGCCATGCAATCCCTGCCAGTGGGGCTTCGGCGGAGCTCCGTGTGGCGTCACGAAGCGTGTGAAAAAGGGGTGCCGACATAACTAGAGGCGGCGGTGGATCTTGTACATCATACACAACCATCGCAGCCGCGTGCTGGAGACGGCTGGTTTTTTCGTGGGCCAGGTGACCGTTGCGACAAAACCAGAATGCCGCCACACGCGCTTTCTTGTAATCCATGTGTGTTTCCTCTTCTCATCCATCCCACAGCTGTCGTCCAGTAGCTTCCACCCCACCGCGGCCTCCCACCTCGACCCCCGAGGACGAGGCCAGGGAGGGAACCGGGCCGATGGCCCCCAGTGGCCCTGTCTCCCCCCCAGGAAGATGTCTGTAGCCATGGCGGGCTCAAGAGGCCGTCGCGCCCGCGGCGAGTCTCAAGTGCCGAAATGGAGGCGGCGGTGCCCTGCGAACCTTGCTTATTGACAAGGCTGCCACTTTGCGTATGAAAGGCACGCA